CCTTCAGTCCACAGGCCTACGCTCTATCTACTGAGTCAAACCACTCTATCCACTGAGTCAAATTGATTAGGGCTAGGCCTGATCTTTTTACCTCTCCCCCCTCGAGGAAAGAAGAGTCCCAATGAGGGGTTCTGCCACCATCTCTCCAAAGAACAGCAATCATGTCATTTATATGCTTTTGTCCCTACCCTCTCCACCATTATCCTGCTTTCCTGGAGTGTTTGTGTGGTAGTGGTTGGGTGGGAGTGGGTGGGGACTAAAAACAGAAGACAGTTTGATATGACCATTTGCCAAAAAAAAGAAAGAAAGAAAAGAAAAAGAGGAAAATATGGGTGAATAAATATTCACTTAAGGAAGACAGGCTTACAAGGAAAAAAGAACTAGGAAAAGAAAGATTGTAATATATGCCAAAATATTACTCAGTTATTATTCTCTTCTATTCACTTGATTGGTCACTATTCACAGATCTTTATTTGTTCTTTATCTTTAAACTCCAGATTTTTCCTTTCACTTACCAGCCATTGCAAATATTAAAAGAAAAAAAATTCAATCACTTTTTAATTTATTTGGTTCCTTTAGATTCTAAACATTATGGACAAAACTAGATTATACTTAGCCAATGCAAGGTTAAAAGCTTCATGCATAAAAATCCATTAACTTTCTAATCCTTTCAGAAGATGAACCTACTAGGGTAATTTCAAATGAAAGCTGCCTCCAGAAAATATTGTTAAGCCTATCAGGATACAATTTGTTTTGGCAAACACTCTGTAGAAAATCCCACTGAACTAAATTTAAATTGCCTATGGAGCAAAAATATATTTTTGGACAGCTTCAGATGAATCCTAAAAGCTGACGATGCTTGGAATAGAATCAGTAAAGAAAGTATATGGCAATGATAGATGAGCTGGAAATTGTAGTTCTGGGTAATTTGTCTCAACTAAAGAGACTATCTACATTTAATTTGATTAACAGTTTATCTTGAGGCCTATTTAGGTACAACCTGAAATATCAAAACTAAATCTCTTTATCTATAGGTTTTATTGTGAAAAAATAAAACAAAAATTTCCTGGGTTTGATTCCAGTCAAGGGCACATGCCCAGGCTGTGGGCTCGATCTCCAGTGGGGGGCATTCAGGAGGCAGCCAATCAATGATTCTCTCTCATCATTGATGTTTCTCTCTTCCCCCTCTCCCTTCCACTTTGAAATCAATAAAAATATTTTTTTAGAGTATTAAAAAATAAAATTATAATTATAAATAAAGTACTAGAATGTAAAACTATCGTTCAGTAGCTGTAATCCCTTTCATTCAGTAGCTTTCCTATTGTGGCCCAGAGAGTATCCATACATTCTAAGATAAAGTTTCCCCCAAGCACCCTTCATTTATACGAACCCCTATAAATGCCAAATTTTGCTGACTGTATAGTGGGCAAATAATCCATTATTCCGTACACTGAATCACCTTACTGAACAGATTTTGTGGGAAACATTTTCACATGCCACTCCAAGTTGGTATTAGAACATTTTAAACATGCAAACTTTCACATTGCCTAATTCTCTCTCACCAAACCAACTATGATATAGATCAAAGGACATTAACTTTTATTAATTACAAGTACACTGGATAGAAGCATCTACATTATTCAAAGTTGAGGAGTGGGTGATGAAAATGTCCTTCTGTGTTAGAGCTTAAATGACTTTTCTTTCTTTTTTAAAAAAATATATTTTTATTGATCTCAGAGAGGAATGGAGAGGAAAAAGGAGATAGGAACATCAATGACGAGAGAGTCATTGATTGGCTGACTCCTGCACGCCCCACATGGGCCCTGATCGGGAATCGACACCTAACCTACTGGTTCATAGGTCGATGCTCAACCACTGAGCCACACTGGCTGGACTGCCTTTTCTCTCTCTTTGCTCTCTTTCAAGATCTCATCTCATCTGATCCTACCATCACCCTCCACTTCACAGACCTTGAGACTCTTGTGACTTTCCATCCTTTAAGACCCAGCTTAGACATCACCTCCATGAAGCCTTCCAGATTATCCAGGGCATCATGACGTCAAAGTACCTACTGCTTCTGCCGCTAATGTATGGCTGGGTGACAATAGTTGAGTAATATTCAAGCTTTCTACTGACCACTTGTTACAGATGCTGCTCATGCCACTGGTGATGAATTGGGATAGATGTCCTGAGAACCAGATTATCCTTCTTTTTTTTTTTTTTTTTTTACTTCTACTCCCAATTAGATCATGAACTTCTTCTAACAGTTATCATCCTGCTGTTTATCCCATTTTGTAACATTTGTTATAAGGGTGGTTGCATCCATTTGTGTATAAGGAAATTTCTCCCGAATTGAGAAATCATTGTCACTTACTTTTGTAAGAGGCCTGTCTCGAAGACTAGGAATGGAAACCAGCAGTCCAACAGGATGAGACTTGGGCACTCTTGATTTTGGCAGCAGCAGGGCCAATTGTATTATCCTACAGTGACCACCAGGGAGTGCGCCAAATGCCTGGACCTAGGACAGGATTTGTGATCTTTGAGTTTAAGCTCACTCTGAGAGGATCAGAAATCCATATTCTATAAGCTTCTTTAGAGAAATTCTTTCGGCATCCTCCAAATTTCCCTTTTGTTTTCTACACATAGGAGGTAAAGTTGCTTTGAAAATCCAGTATACCTCGACTCCATTAAGGGAAGGGAATTATAGGTTTTGCCTTTGCCTGAGCAAACATAGAGCCCAACACACAGTTAAAGAAACCTGTTGGAAGAGGGTAATCCGGAGGAAGGGGTGGGGGGTCGCCTGCCTGGTTCTAAACACTAGGAGGTCTAGAGTGTGTTTTATCAAGATTGGCAGCATTTTAAAACAGCAAACATTGTACTGTCTGCCTTAAAAACTGAAAGTGGCCCAGCTGCAGTGGCTCAGTGATTGAGCGTCCACCTATGAACTAGGAGTTTGGGGTTTGATTCCTGGGCACAAGCATAGATTTCAGGCTCAATCCCCAGTGTGGGGTGTGCAAGAGGCAGCCAATCAGTGATTCTCTCTCATCATTGATGTTTCTATCTCTCTACCTCTCACATCCTCTCTAAAATAAATAAAATATATATATTTTTTAAAAAACTGCCAAAACCGGTTTGGCTTAGTGGTAGAGCATCGGTCTGCGGACTGAAAGGTCCCAGGTTCGATTCCAGTCAAGGGCATGTATCTTGGTTGCGGGCACATCCCTGGTAAGGGGTGTGCAAGAGGCAGCTGGTCGATGTTTCTCTCTCATCGATGTTTCTCTCTCATCGATGTTTCTAGCTCTCTATCCCTCTCTCCTCCTCTCTGTAAAAAATCAATAAAATATATTTTTTTAAAAAACTGAAAGTGTATTATCTGCAAAAATTTAGAGAAGCCATGCTATATATTTTCTATATTACAAGGTAACATATTATTGAGTACAGATTATCATACTTTTATGAATAAAAAACTGTTTCTCCTTAACAGTATAAACAAGGTCTGTTTTCCCAATTGCTTTGGTACAAAATGCAAAACACTATTTTTCCATCATAAAATAATGCTGAAGCTTAGCTAAAAGAATGCAGGTAGTATTTGTGATAGTTACTCTACATAAACTTTTTTTTTTCAAATATATTTTATTGATATTTTTACAGAGAGGAAGAGAGAGGGATAGAGAGTTAGAAACATTGATGAGAGAGAATCATCGATTGGCTGCCTCTTGCACGCCCCCTACTGGGGATGTGCCCGCAACTAAGGTACATGCCCTTGACCGGAATCAAACCTGGGACCTTTCAGTTCGCAGACCAACGCTCTACCACTGAGCCAAACTGGTTTCAGCTACATAAACTTTTTTAATGACAAAATTTGTCTTATGTGTTGTGAAATAACTTTTCCGTGGTATTAGCTACTTTTAAAACAATGCAAATAATAAATTATTTTATTTTTTATTAAATTTATTGGAGTGACATTGGTTAATAAGGTGATATAGGTCTCAAGTGTACATTTCTATGATACATGATCTGAACTAGTATATTGCATCATGTGCCCAAAACCCAAAGTTAAATCATCTTCCATCGCCATATATTTGCTCACCTTTACCCTTTACTGCTCCCCAACCCCTTCCCTCTGACAACCACCATACTGTTGTTTGTTTTGATTAGTTCATTTTATATCCCACATATGAATGAGATAATATGGTTCTTAGCTTTTTCTGGCTGACTTATTTCTGCTTAGCATAATATTCTCATGATCCATCCATGTTATTTTAATTAAACTATCTAGGAATTTCTTACTGTTGTCCCAATAATATAAAATAAAGTTAATCATATACTTAAAAGTTATAACATAAATTTGTATTACAATGATATGCCCAAAATTTTAAGTTATATCATGAAATTACTCTTAAATATAAATTCTCAGGATAACTGTATTAACATTTTAGTGCTTCACATCTTAAATTTGTGGCATACTCCATAGGAAGCAACAGAACTGTGGTTCAGTTCTTGGGTGAAATTTGCTTTGAAACTTCTCGAGATTTTCTTATAATTTTAAACCCTCTTGTTTTGAGGTGAGGCAAACAGTAAATCTGAAAGAGTGAATCAAGTTTCTCTTATCTTCCTTAAAGATTACCTATAAAATTTTAGTTTAAAACGTTGATTTTTAAAAATATAACATCAGCATGAAATGTGGGGTAACTTTTTCCTAGAAACCTATGAAACAGAGTTCTTCCTTACCAAAGATGAAAAGTTATTCTTTTTCTTTTTCCCTCGCAGGAACTTCACTCAGTATATTTCTCTTAAAGAAGTCAAATTTCATATGGGGTACTGAATATGCTCAAAACTTAAAAAACATTAGCTAAAAAGTACTTCGCTTAGAAACTGCAAAAATAGCCTCCATTCCTTACTTCCGCTTCCTATTCCAACAGGAAGCGGAAGTAAGGAATGCGAATCCCAGGGTCTCCTAGCAACGCACAATGCAAGGGGGGCGGTCATGTGAGACAACCACCTGACTGCGGCAGAAGAAGAGGCTGTGGCTGAGTCTGTGGCGACCACGTCTTCCTGACCCGGATCCAAAGCCGGACAGTCATCATCAGAATGTCTGTCAGAGATCGAATCGAAATCTTTCCCTCGCAAATGGCACAGTCCATCATGAAGGCTCGATTGAAAGGAGCACAGACAGGTCGAAACCTCCTAAAGAAGAAATCCGATGCCCTCACTCTTCGATTTCGACAGATCCTAAAGAAGATCATAGAGACTAAAATGTTGATGGGTGAAGTGATGAGTGAAGCTGCCTTTTCCCTTGCGGAGGCCAAGTTCGCAGCAGGGGACTTCAGCACCACAGTTATCCAGAATGTGAATAAAGCCCAAGTGAAGGTTCGAGCAAAGAAAGATAATGTAGCAGGTGTTACCTTGCCAATATTTGAATATCACCATGAAGGAACTGACAGTTATGAGCTGACTGGTTTAGCCAGAGGTGGGGAACAACTGGCTAAGTTGAAGAGGAACTATGGCAAAGCAGTGGAACTACTGGTGGAACTCGCCTCAATGCAGACTTCCTTTGTTACTTTGGATGAAGCTATTAAGATAACCAACAGGCGTGTAAATGCCATTGAACATGTCATCATTCCTAGGATTGAATGTACCATTGCTTACATCATCACAGAGCTGGATGAGAGAGAGCGAGAAGAGTTCTATAGGTTAAAGAAAATACAGGAGAAGAAAAAGATTCTCAAGGAAAAAACTGAGAGGGAATTGGAGAAACGGAAGATAGCTGGAGAGGTGACAGAGCCTGCCAATCTTCTGGATGAAGAAAAGGATGAGGATCTTCTGTTTGAGTAACCTTGCCTGCTCTGGTTCTTTCAGTCCTGACGTGACACCAGTCAGTGTATCATGTAAGAAGATCAAAGGGAGGAGACAAACAATATAAAGTTTCAATGAGAAAAAAAGAGAAAAGCAAGGGCACTCAATATTGGCTCCCCACACATGAAGAATATCTGCAGAGAACAGTGGGCAATCCCTAAGAATATGATGATCCCTTTTTGTATGTGTTAGAAGTATCACATAATCCCTGCTGAAAGATCAAGGAAGTGTTAAGGAATGCCAAATCTTGCCACACCTTTGGAAAGCTGCCAGAGTCTAACCAGAGGCAATCATGGCAATTTTTGGGAAAGTGATATGGCAGAAAGAATAATCACTTTGAAAGCTCAAGCTGATGCAGTTTTTAAGTATTGTGACATAACAGCCATGATTGTTTCATGTTTACTTTCAGTGGAATAGTACAACAGTATAATAAACTTGGATTCTTGCCCTCTTTGGCCAACAATGCCTGAAGTATTTCTTGTGATTGGGGGGGGGGGGGGGGGCAATAAAAATAATATATGGTTTAAAAAAAAAAGAAATTACAAAAATAGAAAATGCCAATGAACTATATTCTATACAGGACACACGAGTCATACACTATTTTTTTATGATTTAAAATATATTTATAGAACTTTAGTATCAGCAAAAAAATGATTAGATAGTATTGGGGTGGGAGGAAATCTGGTTATTCAGTCTTAACTTTGATTGGTTCCATGTAAATAGAAATTTACTCTTAAGAACTACTTTCGGTATAAAAGGTAATAAGATCCAAAAGTGTTTAGGAATGTTAGAAAAGAGACTTATGCAATCAAAACAGGCTCCTTAAATGGCATTAATAATTAAATGCATCAAATATAATTAAATGGCATTAAAATATTAGAATAGAAATAGTAACTATGATTAAATGCCATTTTGCCACTAATATTGGTATTTACCAAAGTATTGAAGAAGTGAAAATATTAGAGAAGTAATAATTTCAGGATAGAATGAGGGGGGAAAAGGTTTGGATAAAATTTAAAGTGCTTATTGGTAATTAGGAAACAAGTGAGTCCAGGAATAGCAATTCTTCCAAATGGAGCACATACTGCAGGTTAGTACGAGTATTTTATCAGTAGTAACTCACTGCATTTAAAGAAAAATATTGTCACTTTCAAGGAACCCTTGACTCCTCATTTCTCTGGAGGCTTTTCAAATTCGTTGGCCTCCTTTCGATGAAGGAATGTGAAAACGGACGTCAATGTGCCATCGCCACTCTGTTGTGAATAGCAAAGGAAGGTGGCCCACAGAAAGCCATAGAGTCCGGTGTAAGCTGTTCTCCACTGAATAGGAACAAGGCTGAAGTTGGTAAGCTGTAACAGAAAGAGGGTGTTATAAACCAAAGCCAGGAGTTAGAATTCTGAGTGGTTTGAAACTCACCTGTAGAGGGAACATTTGAGATCTTGCTCCCAGGCATATGCCAGCAGTTCGGTTTAAATAAACTCTTTTAAGATTTCAAATACTAAAAAACAAAAAACAAAAAAAAAAAAACAAAACTCACCTGTACAAAAGGCCAGTACATCAGACCACTCTGGAATTAAAAAAATATATAAATTAGAATGCCTTTAAATCACAGTTCGTTCCATAGATTAAGAAATACCAGGAAGATAGTATGCGGAGGTGGTATTTTATTTCAGACTAAATTAGCCTAAGGTCCCGATTAAATTAGCCTACTTAAGGTCCCTTGCATACAAGAGGGTGGAGAGTTGTGGAAAAAACTGTTGGGTACAAGTCATCTATACTAGTTATATTCACAGATCCAGAATGAAAAGTCTATCAGAATCACTGTCAATTCTGTTAGCTGCTTTCAAAATAACAACACATATTTATATATTGCAATTTTCCTGTGAGCCCAGGCAAATGATAAAGAAACATATTTATAAAAGGATCATCAATAAATTTTTGAAAGTATACCAAAATCCATGATTTATGGAATGATTTGCTAATAACATATTTTACTGTTTCAAGCTATAGAATAAGTTTAGCTAACATTGTTTTTTACAAAATATTTTAAGATAGGTTTATTTTAACAGGCTTTAACCTGTTCATTCTGACAAAAATGGTCATCATTATGGCTTTTTTTCAAAGCTACAAATCTTGGTATGTAAATTATACCTAAAAGAAAAAAGTTTAAAAAAAAAATCCTTAAAAGTAGTATTAATTAATGTCGTTTTCTAATACTTTTTTAAATCGAATTTATTTAAACAATACAACAAAATTTAATCAACAATATAGTTGCCGTTGTTTTCTACTACTTGTGCCCAACGCTCAGGAAGCATTTTAATCCCTCTGTTGTAAAATTCTTGTGATTTTGATGCAAAAAATTCGGTCAATGCATTTTTGAGGCATTCTTCATTATTAAATTTTTTTCCAAGAAGAAAGTTTTGCAAAGAACGAAACAAATGGTAATCGGAAGGGGCAATATCAGGAGAATATGCAGGTTGAGGGAGAACTTCCCATTCCAACTGGCGCAGTTTTTCAGCAGTGATTCTTGCAGTATGCGGTCGTGCGTTATCGTGGTGAAGAATTACGCCCTTCAGATTAATCAGCGCGGGTTCTTTTTCTCTTAAAGCTTGGGCTAACCTTTCCAATTGGGCACTATACACTGCACTTGTAATGGTTTGGGTAGATGGTAAAAGTTCATAATGAAGAATTCATTTAAAATTCCACCAAACACACAACATCACTTTTTTCGCATGCAAGTCAGGTTTTGGTGTGGGCTGCGGAGTCTCATTTTTGTCCAACCATTGAGGCCACCTTTTCAAATTAACATAGAGCACCCATTTTTCATCTCCGGTAACAATTTGCTCTAAAAACGGCAAACGGTTTTGATGAGAGAGGAGCGAACTGCAAATTGTGACTCTTTGATTACGGTTGTTGTCGGTCAACTCATGAGGAACCCATTTTCCAAACTTTTAGACTTTGCCAAGTGCACGCAATTGATTGGAAATTGTTTTTTGTGAACAATTTAAAGTTGTCGCAAGCTCTTGTTGGGTAATTTGAGGATTTTGCACCAAAAGAGCTTGAAGAGCTTCTTGATCAAAATTGGACATACGGCCTCGACCACTCTTGTAATCTAACAAAAAATTTCCCTCGCGAAATTTCTCAAACCTACACTGGCATTTTCTGGCGCTAACTGCATCTTGACCAAGAGCACTACAGATGTTTTTTGCAGCCTCACTTGCTTTTCTTCCTAATTGGAACTCGTAAAGCATGCAGTGCCAAATATGCTCTTCATCCGCCATCTTCTTAGCCCTAGTTTTGCAACAAAAACCAAACCAAACACAAACTTTTTCAAGCAAAACTTGTTAATTGCACTTCACACGTTCTGTAGATACCACGTGTTTGAAGGTTATGTCAATACAAGTCAACGCCAAGCAAGATTTTAAATGAATGTTTAAAAACGACATTAATTATTACTAGTAATATAAAGGTGGTATTTCTTTTTTATTTTACTAACTTTTACTAGTATTTCCTAAAGTTTCTACAATAAACCAGTTCGATAAAAGCTGTTTAAAAGATATACTCATTTAAGAATTTACTATTTTAGCAAAAAGGATCAGAAGCCAATCATGGCTTTACTTCTTAAGGCAATATTTGTCTTTCAGAACATAACATCACCTAGTATATTGCATTGCACAGATCCTGGTCTCCCATTCCCCACTAAAAGGGGGGTGGGGGGGGGAAGGACTTCTCAAAGAAACGGCTGGTTCCAGGGCTGGGACAGGGTAAGTAAAGATATAAGATAAGCCAGGGATATCTTTTTATGAAAATAAGGAAGTGATTTTTTTATTTAAAAAATGGGAGACCCTGGCCAGGTGGCTCAGGTGGTTGAAGTGTGGTCCCAAACACCAAAAGGTTGAGGATTCAATTCCCATTAGGGCACATATCTAGGTTTCCTGTTTGATTCCCAGTTGGGTCATGTCCAGGAAATAACCAATCAATGTTTATCTCACATCGATATTCCTCTCTTCCTCTCTCTTCCTCTCTCTCTCTCTCTCTCTCTCTCTCTCTCTTCCTCGCTTTAAAATTAGTTTTAAAAAACAAACATTAATTTTAAAAAACAAATATATCCTCAGGTGAGGATTAAAAAAACAAACAATGGATGTCAGTAGAACTTATGAGCCAGCTTGAAGGGACTCTCACTGGCCAAATCCCAGACACTCAAGCACCAAAGATAATTCCACACAGTAATGAATTGTAAGCCATTGAAAATATGAGAATCCCTGAGTCCATGCTGATAATAGAGAAAAGAATAAATAACTGGAATACAAGAGCAGGCATTTGTTTACAGATCACTGAGCGCCACCTGGTAAATGTGGAACTAGCACTGGAGTTGAAAACTCATTTGGCAACCATCACAACGGCAAAGACTGGTTCAGGCAGAAATTGGGGTGCTGAATCTGGGAGGTGGGATGGAACATTCTGACGGGGAGCAGGGTATTTATTTGCATGGTCTTTAAGTGCCTCCCTACAGATTGCTTATTAACTTCAAGGGGGAAAATAGTGAGTGGACAGTGGAAAAATCAGACACCTCCACATCTCCAACCAGAGACAGGATGTGGTGCACCTTCTGCTGTGATAATCTTGAGGAGGATACATCACCACAGATGGAGTGTTCCAGCCAGGAATCTACCACCTTCATCTGACCATGAGGAAGCAACAGACAACCCTCCGCTCGCGAAAACAAATGCTTTGTGTGTGTGTTTTAAAGAGAGATCTATATTCTTCAAAGGTATCAGGGTTGCAATAGATTTTAAAAGGGCCAAGAAAATGTTCCCAACTAATGGGGACTAAAAAGACATAGGAACCAAATGCATCACCAGATCTTAGACTAGATCTTGTATTGGAAAGAAAAGAAATGCTATACAGGCCATTAGATGGTTAATGGACAAAAATGGAATATGGATGGTAGAAGATATAAAAATATTGTTGTCATGGTTAAATTTATTGAACCTGATAACTGTGGTATAGGTACATGAGAATATCTTTGTTCTTAGAAAATAGATACTTGAGTATCTAGGGGTAAATGGTAATTCTGTGTGTAACGAACTCAAATGATTTAGAAAAGCATATTAGATAGAAAGATAGGCAGACCGATAGATAGAGCAAGCAAATAATAAGTGGGGCAAAATGTGAATAGGTGAATTTGGGTAAAGGGTATGTGGATATTTTTTTCCACATTAATAAGTGATTTATTGCAACTGTGAGGAGTTCAACAATGCAATTCCAAGGGTTAGGAGGCTTTATAATGGGCATACGTAGTCTGAAAAGGCTTCCTTAGGAAACGATGTGTAAGCTGAGGTCCGAAGGAAGGGGAGGTGTGAGTCTGGGAAAGGCTGGGGTGGGAAGAGGCTGCCATGTTCCAGGAACTGAAAAAATTCAAGAATGGTTGAGGTACAGAGTGGAGAGAGGGAGGCATGAGATGATGGCTGGACCGAACCACCTCTCCGAGGGCAGATCCCTAGAGCCCTGGGTTGGCCTCGCACGCCTGTTTTGAGTGTTTGGCACAGTGTCAGAGCAAACAAAGGTGGTGTTAACTTCCCACCGAATATTGGAGGGGCAAGTTCTCTTTTTATAGGCAGGTCTCATGGTGAACTTCTGCTAGGCAGGAGTTCAAATTCATTTCCAAATCCTCAGCTTTGGCATAGCATTGGTGTCAGCACACAGTAGCTGCTTGTCAGACTCACACAAGATTCCAGAGAGGAGCCAGGAAGAGGAGTCCAGGTCTGGACAAGGAGCACATGTCTGTTGGTGCCATTGGTAGAACTTCTGGGATAAGCTGTCAAAGGAGGACCAGAGACTCCAGTGACTGGAACTGGGCACCTCCCTCTTCAAGGAGACTGAGCCCCCCAGATGTGAGGTGGCCCACCATTCAGGCCACCCATATGGGTGTTATTTGAACTGTTCTTATTACTTTTCTGTAAGTTTAAAATTATTTCCATATTAAAGCCTTTTAAAACTATATAAGACAGAAGAATGTATTATCCAATATATTTCTAAGAGATAACAGATCTGAACTGCCATGTTGCAGGTGGTGAAAGGAGACAGAAATTGCATGCCATCTGTGCAAAAAAAAAAAAAAAAAAAAAAAAGAAAACACACAAAAAACAAAAAGCTCAAATACTACCTACATGTAAACAACAAATAAACTAGAGATGTCCTTCCTTTGCTCACTTTTTTTTATAAAAAGATATACATATTTCCATAGGATCTATAGCATCATGGGAAAACTTGTTCTTTTTTTTTCAAAATAAAACAGAAGTAAATCACAAATCTTCACTGAATTAATTAATAAATATTTGTCAAACTGGATTGTGTATATCTGTATTGGGCAAACAGTACAACAAGTGACTTGCTTCAAGCCTAGACATGACCCTGGGGAGTACCATATTTCTCTGTAAATACTTTGTAATGTTAAGAAGGTTCCTTTCACAGAGACTCAGGAGAATGCATATCTGGAAACCTTGACTCTGAATGTGGGAATGATTCCATTCACACAATCTAGCCTTTTTGCAATAAACTCTTTGATTCTGAGATTCACTAAATTATAATCAATAGTAAGAGTAAATATAAGAACATCAGGAATTATTATGAATACTGAATACCATTCAGAGACATTCATATAGGCACTCTTAAAGCTTCTTTTCATAGGATTCATCTGTTAAAATATTGTCCTAATTTAATAATATTTTCATTAAAATGTATTATATTTAATGTTAAAAATGTACAAAAAGAGAGAAAATGCCAAGACAAGGAAACAGATCACAAACGAAAGAAATGGAGGACAAAAAGCAACTGGATACAGAGTTCAAAACCATGCTTATAAGGTTTTTCAAAAATCTCCTAGAAAAGGCATATAAAATAAACAAAATCTATGAAGATATGAAAAGGGATCAACTAGAAATAAAGAATACATTGTCTGAAATAAAAGAAATATTATACAGAGTCCTAAAAACACAATGGAAGATTGCAAGAATCAAGTCAAAGACTTGGAACACAAAGAGCCAGAGGACGCTCCTCCGCAGAAGCAAGAAGACAAGAGAATCCAGAAAGTTGAAGATAGTGTAAGAAACCTCTGGGACAACTTCAAGCGTACCAACATCAGAATTATGGGGTCCCAGAAGATGACAGAGAGCAAGATACCAAAAACATACTGAAAGAAATAGTGACAGAAAACTTCCTCCACCTGGTGAAAGAATTAAACTTACAAGTCCAGAAAGCGCACAGAACTCCAAACAAAAGGAATCCAAAGAGGACCACACCAAGACAAATCATAATTAAAATTCCAAGAGCAAAAGACAAAGAGAGAATATTAAAAGCAGCAAGAGAAAAGCAGGTAGTTACCTATAAAGGAGCACCCATACAATTGTCAGCTGATTTATCAACAGAAACCATGCAGGCCAGACAGGAATGGCAAGAAATGTTCAAGGTGATGAATAGCAAGCACCTACAGCCAAAAATACTCTACCCAGCAAAGCTATCACTCAGAATCAATGGCCAGATAAAGAGTTCACTAATAAAAAAAAGCGAAAGGAGTTCATCATCACCAATCCAGAATTATATGAATTGCTGAAGAGGGTTCTTTAAGAAGAGGAAGAAAATAAAGATAAAAACTATGAACAACAAATACGCAACTATCAACAAGTGAATCTAAAAACCAAGGGAATTAAAAAACCTGATGAACAATATTAACTGTTGAATATAATAGAATCAGAGGTACGGAAAGGGAATGGACTGATGATTCTCAGGGGAAAGGGGAGTGGGGGGTGTGGGAAGAGACTGAACAAAAACTTTGCACCTATGGATGAGGACAATGGGGAGTGGGGAAAGGGCAGAGGGTGGGGTGGGAACCTGGTGGAGGGGGGAAAAATGAGGAACTTTTGTAATAATATGAACAATAAAGATTTATTTTTTTAAAAAAAAGAAGAAGAAAGAAAGAAAAAGAAAAAAAATGTACAAAAACATTTTGGTCACATTTTCAAAAGTCTGTCTTACCTTATATGTATTCCAGAATTTCTGTTTCAGGTCCAAAAATATGTCATCCTTTCCTTGGAGAATACTCATACCTATTTTCAAAAGCATAAATCAAAAGAATTTTAAAAGATTAAGTAGGAAGAAAAATGTAAAAGAGTTCAAGTTTCCTATTTCAATATGTAAAGTAACCACCATTACCACTCACTCAATATGTCCTTTCGGACTCAACATAGAAAAGAGAATATAATCTCCACTCTAAAACTAGATAAATTTTTAAAGGAACAATAAATATATTGAAGGAACTAGAAGACTCTACCCTTGACCAAAGACCCTTTTATTAAACACAATTTGTCCCAAGGCAAGGTGGAAATAGACACTTCCAAGGGTATGGTATCCAAGTGTTTACAGAGATTAAAGCCTACAGCTGTTCGGGTGTTTGGCCTACAGGAGGCAATAAAATGCCCTGAGCTGTCTGGCAGTTAAAGAAACCATTCAGGTTTGGGAGAGATGTTTCCAACAGGTAAACTACATGTGACTCCCCAAGCTTCTCGGCATCTCTCTTTCTCTCTTCTCTCCCCAGCCCTCCACCTCCCTCCCTTCCACTCTCTCTAAACATCAGTGGACAAAATACCCTTGGGTGAGGATTAAGAAAAAAAAAAAAAAAAAGTGGTTCAATACCAAACCAGGTGTAGATTCTAAGCCAGAACTCTTTTTTTTTTTTTTTTACTATTTATTTATTTATTTATTTATTTATTTATTTTTACATAATTCATTGATTTTTTTTTTGCCCCCCTCCCTCCCACACATCCCCTCCCTCCCCAGAGTTTTATGTCCATTGGTTGTACTTATATGCATGTATACAAGTCCTTCGGTTGATCTATTATCTCCCCCAGATCCTCCTCCCCTCCCCGCTGTAATTTGACAATCTGCTTGTTGCTTTACTGTCTCTATATCTATCTTTTGGTTCATCAGTTTATAATGATCTTTATTATCCACAAATGAGTGGGGTCATGTGGTGTTTCTCTTTCATTGATTGGCTTATTTCACTCAGCATGATGTTCTCCAATTCCATCCAGGTTGCTGCAAATGATGAGAATTCCTTTTTTTATGGAAGCATAGTATTCCATTGTGTAGATATACCATAGTTTTTGGATCCAATCATCTGCTGACGGGCACCTAGGCTGTTTCCAAATTCTGGCTATTGTAGATTGTGCTGCTATGAACATAGGGGTGCATATATCCTTTCTGATTGGTGTTCCTAGTTTCTTGGGATATATTCCTAGGAGTGGGATTACTGGGTCAAATGGGAGTTCCATTTTCAGTTTTTTGAGGAAACTCCACACTGTTCTCCACAGTGGTTGCACCAGTCTGCATTCCCACCAGCAGTGCACGAGGGTTCCTTTTTCTCCACAACCTCGCCAACACTTGTCGTTTGTCGATTTGTTGATGTTGTAAGCCAGAACTCTTAATCACGACTCACACTCCCAAGGCACAAAGGATCATTTGATACAATCTCTAAGTCAGAAGTGCCTGGAGCAAACATCCTACCCCAGGGGCCCCACCTTCCTCCTGCATTTTAACAGGAAGTGAGGAACACTGGGCCTGAAATCTGAAAGCTAAACAAGCACCTGGACAGGATTCTGTTTCAGGGGCCTCAGGCCTGAGCCACGGGCTTCCACAAGCACTGTTATTTGTCTTTCTGGGCAGGCATACTGACAACAGTCAACAAGACTGAGAACCGCAGGAATTGTGTTGTCTTAGAGCAAGTCACTGAAACCCTTTGGGCCCTGGTTTCCTAATCTGTAACATGGGACTACATTATAATAAGACTATCTGCCTCACAGGGTTGTTTGAGGATTAAATGGGAATCTGATTCCCAAACTCACACCCCCCCCCCCCCAACCCCTTCACCCCTGTACAAAGCCACTAGTAACTGGTATGATGAACCAGTTTGCAAATCCCGCCAGGAAGTCATGCCCTGGGAGAAGACACATATCTGACAATCCAGGGGGTCCCTGTTCTCCAGTTCACCATTACTGTGGCTTCCCTGACCTCACTGACCCCCTGAGCCATGTGGTTGGCTGAGGCTGCATCAAGCAGTCCTGTCCTCTGAGTTTTCTGTGGGGCTTGTGAGGAAAGGAACAGAATCTGCCCTCCCCCCAAATATATGGGGCAGTATAGATTACTTCAAGATGGTGACTTGACCTGTTCTATATATATTTTTTTTTAATTTTTTTTTTTTCAGAGAAAAGGGAGAGGGAGAGGGAAATAGAAACATCAATGATGACAGAAAATCATCAATTGCCCCCTACTGGGGATCCAGCCTGCAACCCCAGGCATAGGCCCTGACCAGAAATAGAACAGTGACCTCCTGGTTCATAGGTCCACGCTCAACCACGGAGCCACGCTGGCCAGGCTCATCCCAGTTTAAAAGGCACTAGCAGCCAAAACCGGTTTGGCTCAGTGGATAGAGCGTCAGTCTGCGGACTGATGGGTCCCAGGTTCGATTCTGGTCAAGGGCATGTGCATTGGTTGCAGGCACATCCCTGGTTGGGGGGGGGGGGGGGGGGGGTGCAGAGGCAGCTGGTCGGTGTTTCTCTCTCATCAACGTTTTTAGCTCTCTATCCCTCTTCCTTCCTCTCTGTGGAAAATCAATAAAATATATTTTTAAAAAATAATAAAAAATAAAAAAAATAAAAGGCACCAGCAGCCACTGACAAGAAGACCCTCTTGGAGTGCCATCTGTGATCCCTAATGCCAAGGCCAGGCCCAGGACTCTCCCACTCCTTTCCAGGCTGTGGAAACTGAAGGCGATGGAAGCCACAGAGCCTTCCACTGATTGGGGACCTGAGCAAGGTTCCCAAAGCCTGGTCCTCAGACAACAAGTTCTCTAGGAGGGAGCTCCGAGACCCGCACAGTATAGAGTATTCTCTGGCAGGGGTCCGTCCCCTCACATTTTCAGTAGCTTTTGATGTTGGGATGGGACACACACACACACACACACACACACACACACACACACATCTTTTTCCACAGGAAAATCTTACCAAAGCAAGGCTAGTGCCCCAGCCTGGATTTTCTGGGAAACCTGGCCCAGTTTCAGTTTCCACCCACAATGGTGCTGAGTCCCCTCACGTTTCGCTGGTGTATTGGAAACAAATGTCCCCCAGTGGAAAGGAGGCCCGGTGGATATTCCCAGGAGCAGGCTGGCTGACTCACAACTAGGTCAGCGGGACTGCAGCTGCCATGATCACTAGCTAGGGTCTCCTGGACACTCCAGACACTCCGTGCGTGGGCCTTTTTCAGGGAAATGGCCCCCAGCCCTGCCTCCCCACTCCAACTACGCCCCGTGCCCCCTGAAATCTCCAGCCTCGGACTATGCGCAGCCCCCGAGGATCTCAACTGCGCACCTAGCCCCTTGATCCCTGACCCGCTGGACGTTGGTTCCCTAATCCCTGGCCCATCTCTAGAAATGGCCCAACTTCTCCTCAGCCCCCTTCATCCTGGGTCCCCAAACTTCTAGGCCCTTGCACCTTGCACCCTCAACTCCGACCCTCCCAGCAAGGATTACATCCCTTGGTCCCGGCCATGTCTCCATCCCCCCAATCCTGGCCCCTGCCCCTACCCCTCACCCCCCAGCTCAGGCCCCCTGCGCGCGCGCGCGCGCGCACACACACACACACACACACACACACACACACACACACACGGGCATCTCACCGGTGTAGAAGGCCGTGACGGCCACGGGCGCGGCCACCACCTGGTCGCACAGCACCTTGGCCAGGATGGCGAGCGGCGCGCGGCCGGGCAGCGCGCGCTCCAGCAGGCGCTGCCACGCGTAGTTGAAGTTGGCGTGGAAGGTCACGGCCACGGTGGCCACGCAGCGCGTCTGCCGCCAGTCGGCCGGGCGGCCGCTCAGGCGCTGTTGCAGCGCGTCCCCCGCCGAGAAGAGCGCGCCGTAGAGCAGCACGTTGGTGGGCCACGGGTAGCGCCCGGCCGCGCTCGGCAGCGCCCGCCACCAGCGCGCCATGCCCGGCGCGGGCTCCCTGCCTGCACCCGCCTGCACCCACCTGCACCCGCCTGCACCCGCCTGCACCCGCCTGCACCAGCCTCCTCCTGCCACCCGCACCTGCCTCCTCCCGACGCTCCACAGCGATTGGGTGCCCCGCGCGGGCCGTGCTGTCCAATCCCGCGGCCACGAGCCATTCATTGTGAGGGCTGCGCCTTCGGAAAGCAAAGCCGCTGGTCTCCGGAGTGCAAGTCATGTCCAGAAGAGAAAGAGCCCTGGGGGCAGAAAGCAGACTGGAGGTGACGGGGCGACAGAGTGGGGGTTGAGGTGGGAGGGTGCTAGGTGACCGCTCATTGGGGGAGGGGTTGGTTGCACAGAAGAGCATTAAAGACACTTTTAAATGGTGAAATGTTATCGTAGGTGAATTATATCCCCGCGCCCAAAACAGTTTAAAAGGAATGGGGGTGGGGGACAAGAAAGGATACCAAAACTCAGTTACCAAGAGGGCAGTGTATCTTAAACGTCTACATGCAAGGAATTCCGTTTCAACACACACAAGGCACGATCTACTAAATTTGGATGCAAATTCACATGTTCAACTTTGAGGCATTTCCATGAATGAGAAGTAGAGCTCAATGGGCCTATTGCCTTCTCCTCTTCAGAGTTTGTGATTCAATGACTATTGCCTCCCAGGGCACTGTCCCAGAAGCAGGGGACATGGGGGACCCAAACAGCAGATATAATCTCTGATCTCATGGAACTCAGTTTCTCCTTGATTCTTCCCCCGTTATTTCTTCAATTGCTGTAACTTCCAATCCCATCCTCTCTCTCTCTCTCTCTCTCTCTCTCTCTCTCTCTCTCTCTCTCTCTCTCTCCCCCTCCCTCCCTCTCTCTCTCTCTCTCCTCTTTGTTAACCCTATATTACTTATTTTTTAAATTTTTAACTTTTCACTTTAAAATAAGTAATTATAGACAGGAAAAAAGTTGCAAAATTAGTACAGAGTTCCCATAGTACAGAGTTCCCATCTTACATAACCACTGTGGGGGCAGGGCACCATTTTCATACTCTGGTCTAATAGACATGGGACAGATTGGCAAGAGAAAACAACCAAATTTACTACGTATATATGTGTGGGCACCCCTCATACATGAGAGAGTCAGACCCCTCATGCAGGAGAGGCTCAGAGATAGAAAGCGGGATTGAGGTATATAAGACATCCTGAGCGAGAGATGAGGTTATGCACCTTGGGGCTTTAGAAAGGACATTACAGGGAGAACAGATTTTCAGTAATGAGTGGTTTGTCCTGCCAAACAGGTAGGTCAAAAAGGTTAGCTCTGATAACCTCTTATTGAAGGGCGAGGCCCCTAATTCAAGTTCTTCTAGGTAGTCAAGGGAGAAGCAAAGGTTGTCTTTAGCTCGAAACAATCCTCATACCACAGGGGCACATCTTGGGGTAACTCTTTCAGAACCCCCCACAGTACAGACTTCCCATATACTCTTCATTCAGGCTTTCCCAATACTGGTATCTTACATAATCATAGTACAATTATCAAACAAGGAAATAAGCACTGATGTAATGCTATTACCTAAACTACATACCTTATTCAAAGTATTGCCAATTGTTCCACTAACATCCTTTTGCCCATCTGGCATCCAAACCTGAATCACTTTTCATTGCATTAAATAGCCATATATTGCCTTAGTCTCCAATCTTAGGCACTCACCCATTATTTCGTAGACTGCTCCTTCATTTGCCAATCCCATTGTTATGGGCTGAATTGTGTACCCCCCCCCCCCAAAAAAAAAAATCACAAACCCATATGTTAAAGTCTTAGCCCCCAGACTATTTGGGGATGGGGCCTTTATTTTTTATTTTTTCTAAAAATACATATTTTATTGATTTTTTACAGAGAGGAAGGGAGAGGGACAGAGAGTTAGAAACATTGATCAGCTGTCTCCTGCACACCCCCTACTGAGGATGTGCCTGCAACCAAGATACATGCCCTTGGCCAGAATCGAACCTGGGACCCTTGAGTCCCCAGGCCGACACTCTATCCACTGAGCCAAACCGGTTTCGGGAAGGGTATGGAGCCTTTAAAGAGGCAGTTGAGTTAAAAATGAGACCCTTAGGCTGGGCCCTAATCCACTCTGACAAATCTCTTTATAAAAGGAAATTTGGACACACAGAGACACCCAGGCAGAGAACACACAGAGGAAAGATCAGGGAAGAGGGAAGTCTGCAAGCCAGGGAGAAAGGCCTCAGAAGAAACCAGCTCAGCTGAGACCTGGACATTGGACTTCCAGCCTCCAGAATTGTGAGAAAATAACTTGTGTTTGTTAACTGACCTAGTCTGTGGTATCCTGTTCTGGCAGCCTAGCTGACTAATGTACCCATTCTCTTCAGATCCCGGGGATCTGCCAATTTCTGTGTTCTTTGACCCTTTCTATCTATTTCTATTCCTCCCCTGTCATTGTCCCTGTTTCTGCTCCAAGCAAATATTTCTGTCAGAGTTTTCCCAGTAAGGCAGGCTCTAGCTCACCAAAGCATCTTTATTTATAGCTTATATTTTCCCTATTTTATTTTTCTGTTGCTGCTGTACCACGAATTTACTTGCTTAAAACAACATGAACTTGTTGTCTTAGAGTTTTAGAGGTCAGAATTCTAAAATGGGCCTACATGTCTGGCCAGCGTGGCTCGGTGGCTGAGCATCAATCTATGAACCAGGAGATCATGGTGTGATATCTGATCAGGGCACATGCCTGGATTGCAGGCTTGATCCAAAATAGGAGGCTTGTAGGAAGCAGGGTATAGTTGATTCTCTCTCATCATCGATGTTTCTTTCTCTCTCTCCCTTCCTCTCTGAAATCAATAAGAATACTGTTTTAAAAAAATAAAATGAAATGAAATGGGTCCACAGAGGCCTTGGTGGGTATGGCTCAGTTGGTTGGGCATTGTCCCATTCACCGAAAGGTCAAAAGGTCAATGGTTTGATTCCCATTCAGGGCACATGCATGGGTTGTGGGTATGCAGGAGGCAGCCAATCAATGGTATGCTCTCACATCAATGTTTCTCTCTTCTCCTGTTCTCTCTATCTCTCCCTCCCTCTCTCTTTCTCTCTCTCAACCAATTAACTGGTCTTTTAAAATAAAGATAAATGAAAAGGGTCCACAGGGCTGCACTGCCTCTGGAGACCCTGGAGGGGAATTCACTCCTTGCCTTTTCAGCTTTTATTTTTTATTTTTTTAAAGATATTTTCTTGATTTTTTACATAGAGGAAGAGAGAGGGATAGAGAGTTAGAAACATCCATGATAGAGAAACACTGAGCCAAACCGGTTTCGGTGCCTTTCCAGCTTTTAGAGGCTCCCTGCATTCCATGAAGGCCCCCGTCAGCTGGAAAATAATATTGACTGTTTCTTTGCCAAAGGATTTATGGGGTGGGGGGGGAGATAGGGAGAAATTGCACCCCAATGCTTACAGACATGGTAAGCTACATGAACACACAGCAAGGTGTACTAAGGTGGAGAAATATATTTAGAAGCAAAAAGGAAGTTAAGAGGAGAGACTGTTACAACCATAGAGCTGTACTGTAAGCAGAGTTCTTCCTATAGGACAACATAGAGTGTAAGAACTCCTTCCCAAAGCCCCAGCTCCTCCCAGAGATCCAGGTTAGCTTAAATTCTCAGCCATGATTTTTATTACCCCTTTCTCAATCTTCAAAATCAGCAGCATAGCTGAGCAGACTCCTCGCTCACCAAAGCATCTTTAGTACTTTTATCCTCCCTGTAGTGTGGCTTAAAACTAAATGTAGCCGATGTAAATTCTTTCAAAACAGCTTACATCTTTCTTCCCCAAACTTCACATCTAAAAGAACCTGTTAACCCCAGGACAGCAGACCTGTTTGTCTCTTCCCTCTAGCCCTCTGCTTTGGTGATTCCGATTGCATGTCCCAAGACCTGGTCCTTGACTGGCTAGCATTTGGCTCAGTAATCCCTTTCTTTCAGAAAAGCTTCCAGCCATGGAAGGTTTTTACTTAATACTGCATACATGTGTCTCTTCTTACAAGCAATAAAAAAAAAAAAAAAGCACAATCTATTACTGAAGCAAACGCTAAAGAACCCACATGACCTTCAAAAAAGAGGTGCTCTAAGATACATAAATTCATTACATTGATGCTTCATTATCTCCAAGCTGTGATTCAGAGCCCTCCAGCAATCATGAGGCGACACACGCGTGTGATATTAATATTCCTGAACAGTGGGGGATAACTGGAGCATGTTAAAATGTAAAGAGGGGTTTTGTTAAGAACTCTTTTATCGGGGACTAAGCACTGATGTGGGCCCTGAGATTCAATGTACAATGAAGGATCACATTAAAAATACATTAAAATGGTTACATCAAAGCTTATTGTAACTGTTATTATTTCATTTTATTGAAACGAACCAGGGCTTACAAAGAACCACTAAGTGGGCCGCAGGGTCTAAAATCTTCTAACTTCTCTTGCCAATAATGAGCTGTCTACTGACAAACAATAGGCTGCTGTGCTTAAAAGCTCCAAGGCCAACAGGTCCGTTTTCCAATGAATAGAGGAAGCATCAGCTAAAGCTGCCACCTCCAAAAGGGGTCATTGAAATTCCTCCAGCCTCTTCAGTGTCAGCTCTGCGAGGTGGGTTGAATCTGTGGGTGTGCGCACAGTGCAGGAATTTGAAGCAACTGTCTTCCTCCTTGTCACCTGAAATAAGGCTTCAGGGAGGCTGGTAAAGAACCCTGATCCTCCCTCTTTCATGGTTTTCTCATCCGCCCACCCCTTTCTTCCAGAGCCCTTCATTCTTAATTTCTCCAGCAGCCATCTGATGGAAGGGAACGCTTTGACTTGAAGCTGAGTGCACCCAGTAACCACTGTGGCTACACAGCAATAAAAATAGCTGTGCTTTCTGCAAATGTCCTTTATTTGGATGGGTGTAGGTGAATGGGCTTGAAATTATGGGAATAGGGGTCGGAGGCACCCCCACTATCTGAATGGAGAGAGAAACTTTGTTTTAACTGGGGGAGAAGGTCAGAAGGGGAGGTTAGAAGGAAGAGAAT